TCATAGTTAAAAGTTGTTCAGTAGATGATATTAAAAGTCGTTCAGAATATGTGTTGTATGAAAATTCGCTTTTACAAGATTAAAATCAAACTAGTTAATGAATATTAATGCACGATAATTATTTTACCTTCAAAAATACAAGAAACTTACCGATAATTATTTTACCTTCAAAAATACAAGAAACTTGCCGGAATAAGTATGTATAACCAATTCTCCCAACTGCTTCTTTATAACGGATAATGTAGTTGGGAGTACAATGTAAGACACTTTGAGTGTTATATACTATTAAAAGAACACAGATTTCCACAAAATTCTAATTCATAGTTAAAAGTTGTTCAGTATATGATATTAAAAGTCGTTCAGAATATGTGTTGTATGAAAATTCGCTTTTACAAGATTAAAATCAAACTAGTTAATGAATATTAATGCACGATAATTATTTTACCTTCAAAAATACAAGAAATTTACCGATAATTATTTTACCTTCAAAAATACAAGAAACTTGCCGGAATAAGTATGTATAACCAATTCTCCCAACTGCTTCTTTATAACGGATAATGTAGTTGGGAGTACAATGTAAGACTCTTTGAGTGTTATATACTATTAAAAGAACACAGATTTCCACAAAATTCTAGACATAACGTAATATCGTACGAAATATACACATCATCACCGACAAATACACTCATATATCTACTCATACGTAAGTCATATACATATAGTTTAATAGATGTAATATGATACAATATATAGTATATTTTCATACAATTACACAAATATAATAGGAACCAAATGATTTTGTGTATAAATTTTAAAGAACAATAGATATTATTTAGAATTTAATTTTCTATACGGTCTGACGTTGAAAGAAAATAAGGAAGAAAATAAAAATTATTATAGAATTTTTGTTTTTGTTTTTTTTCTGGACGCTATTTATATTACGGGCCTACACCTGATGGGATGATATTAAATTTGTATGATAAAGACTGTATGATTTTGGGTATTGTTTTTTCTTTTTGTGGTTACCATATTTATCTGCATCTTATAAAAATTGTATATAATATATTATTTCAATTGGGAAGCCTATTTTTTTCTTTTTTTGAATCATATTAAAGCTATTCATATTAAAATCAATTATCTTCCCTTTGGGACACTAAAAATGATTATCTTGTCGAGAAATCATGAAATTTTGTACGGTAGAAAGATTTTTACGACAAATCTAATAATTAAGATGTGGTAAAATTGTTTCTTCTTTTCTCTTTTATTGTTATATTTTGTGATTTAACAATGATAATCTAATTTATTTTGCAAATTTCCTTAGGAAATATTTTATTTTCACTTTTCCTTACACATAATTACATACAAACGTGCATTTAAGAAACCTTAAAATAATGCTAATAAAAATTTTCTTTTATAATCCTTGTCATGAAATCTTTTATTTTTGTATATAAGCATAATATTAATTGAAATATATGCTCGCATACAAAAGTTTTTCTTTAACAAAATTTCTCATTAAAATCACTTCGTAATTAGTTATACATATATATTATGTGATAAAGTAGCGCTGCAATCATATGAACAAAGCTGTTAAGTACTTTTGTTTATATAAAATATTTAAACTTTTTAAAACAGAAATTTTAAAAAACGTGATTGATAAGTACAATTAATATTGTATGAAAAAAAGGGGTAAATAAGTATGTCTGATGAAGTTATTAAATAAAAAAGCTACACATACAATAATGCATGACATTGTTTGTATATTCAAAAAATTTAATGAGAAATTTTTAATTTTATAAAAAATGAGTATTTGAATTTATTGAGCTATCATTTTGGTTCATATTTTCATATCGGACTTACCATTCTTACGTGAATCGAGCTGGGCATATATAATAATGGAACTATGGTAGATTTGAAAATTAATTAAGGAAAGGAACTTCTGATTCTCCAAATTCTTTCTTTAATATTAATTAAATAATACCACAAACATATTAAAATTATTTGATTTAAAAGGTAGAGCTCATTATACAAATTTTAGAGCGCAATTACAAATTTTATCTTTGAACAAAACCATCAAATAAAAATAAAATGAAAAAAAAAAAATATAAAACGCTTTGAAATACGCTGCAAAATTGAAGGGCTGAACAGTGCATTCTCCTTAAACCTATTATAATACTTGCTCGTTTATTTAAAAGAATCCATTAACTCTTTTGATTCAAGATACAATACTCATTAAACTTAAATTACCATACCTTCTATTATCTACATATTTTTCAACGGAAAACCTTAAAATGATTTTTTTGACTAAATACCTAAAAATTAGATTACCTTAAAAAATTAAAATTTTTTTTATCCTATCTCGAAAATATAGTTATGCAAATACCCATATATGTTTAATAAATAAGAATTTCATTTTTTATGTATTATGTAATAATCTTATTTAAAAGAAAACTGAAAATAACTTTTACTATACACACAATAATTAACTTTTCCGAGTGATTAAATTGATCGGCACATATATACGACGTAACAAGCTTCCATCTAAAGAAGATTATTTTCCAATTGTTTTTTTGCTGTTTTGTTTTTTTTTTTTTTTTTTTGCTATTTTTAATTACTGTTATATTGTTTATATTTTATGGGATCTAAACAGCCTACATCTATAGGTATTGATAAATAAACAAAAGAAATTTATTCAAAAGGTGAAGCAACAAGTAGCATTTTTAATAATAATTATGTACATAATATGTACATACATATGTATATTGCGACACATACATATATGCACCTTGAAGCTTTTTAGAAACTGTAAAAAACAAAATCTGTAATGAATAAAATCTGTAAGAAAGATGAGTGACATTTACAATTTGAGTTATTTCTGTATAATATTTAAGTAAACAAATATGTTGCTAACGATTATGTAGCTAAACATTTCGTTTTTACGTAAAATTTAGAAGAAAGTTTATTCTCTATATAACTTATGATGTATTTGTCGCTCGTAAAAGAAAGCGCAGGAACTTAACGGAATATTTATTTAAATATTTGAAATTATCAAATTTGTAATTTTGCATGTACTCATATTTGTTATATTCAAGTAAGTTCGAAGTTGGGTTTTTGTGATTTTCAACCTTAACACAAATACTAGTGCTTAACGTATCTTTGCTCCTTTTATTTAAAGTGAACATTATTAATCTTATTAAGAATTTAAATAAAATGTTAAAATGCAACATACAAACATTAATTGGAAGTTGAAATTTGCAAAGCTACTATGAACTATGAATATATGGAAAGGCTCTTTCAAGCGTTCTTTATAGAATCACAAAGAACTTAGTCTGTAGTCACAAAGAACTTAATCAAAATTGGATCGCTTTCGAATACCTTTTCACATAAATTGATTAGATCATTTATTCTTAATCTTTTCAGTAATAAAACACATTCGTTCTGATAATTCGCTTATTAGCAGGAACATGTATCTAATGAAGTCAGATGTACTTCTATAGCTCCATCATTGTACTATATGCGTAACAAATTAAACAATCTCTCTCTCTCTATATATATATATATATGTAGGCGGATAAATCGAAGATTAATCTATTATAAATAATGTTAAAAGGATACTGTAGATACTGTATACCATATCATCTGGAAAGGAATCGAGATACTTAATTTTTTTCTAAATAATCAAACAAAAAATTAAAGAAAGTTTAAGTAATATAAGAATTGTTCAAGTTTGATTTTTAACCTTGTTAAAATCAGTATCAAATTATTTTACAATAATAAATTACAATGAAAAATTGTAAATTGTAATTTGAATACGAGAATTGTATTAAGCGAGTTTATTATAATTAGTAAGTGTAATTTATATAAAGAAAGAATAAATAATATAGAAAATATTATTTATTTAGAAAACTTGTATTAATTATTATTTAATACATACATAAAAGGAATTAAAATTTCAAATTACTCTTCTCTCACTGTACATAAAAAAATTAGAAATATAAAAATTAAATTGAATTTTAAAATCCTTAATAACAATAAGAACCCTTAATAATAATAATAATAATGAATAAGCTTTCGTATACAGCTTTTATATTACTAAACTTTCTTCTGGATTTCTGCAAAATATTTAGATATAACAAGAATTGAAAATATAACGGAATATTATACCTTCTAAAATAGATAACATTCTTTTATTATAACTGATATAAAGATTTTATTCCAATGTTTTCATTAAGTTCAGTTATTCTTTAGCTGCCGTCAAAATCGTATGCATTTTTCATTTTATAAGAAGTGAAGTATACCGGAAATCATTGATCAGTAATAGTATTGTGTTATACTCTCTACTATAATAAATTGTAATAAATAAGTGTATGTGAATACGTTATTAATTCCATTACCATATTAATATAAAAATGAGTGTTTTAAAATAATAATAAATAAAAAAAAAATAAATTTCATTATTAAGTCCAAAAGTGTTAAATAAAATTTGAATCATTTGAAATTTAATTTAGTTTCTTTATATTAGAATAAGCTCATATATTACTATGCATATAGTTGTCTAAAATAAAATATTAAAAAATTTCTTCCTTGAAATTTTTCAGCAATTATATTAAAACATTTGAAAAAGAATTAAAAAAATTAATATTAAAATTTAAAAAAATATTTTGTTTTCCTAATTATTTGGAAACTGAATATAAAATATAATAAATTTGTTCAATATTGTGTGTGTGAAATATTTATTTTTAATATTTATTAAAATAAAGAATTAAAGTTTAAAATTGAAAAGAAAATTATGTGTTTTTTATTATCTTTCAATTTAAAATAGCTTTATTGGAAATATGAAAGAAATCAAATAAAATAAATGAGAATAAATTAATCGTGAAATTTTGATAAGTTCCTTGAAATTTCAAATTAAAAATTCAGAAATTCAAAAAAAAAAAATAATAGAAAAAAAAAAGATGAAATTTTGTTCAAAATTGTCATTTCATAGAATTTTCAATCTTCAGTACATCCTTGTGAATCAAAATGAAAAAATCTGAAGCAGTTTGCATTTAAAGAAAACAAAAATAACAAAAAACAACAAAAAAAATATTTTTAATAAATTTTCAAAATGGTATTGAATAAGAAAATATAAGAATTGTTCTAAAGGAATTTCTCATCTTTAAACATTGTTAAAAAAGGCCTCCAGAAATCAAAAATCAAAAAGAAAAGAAAAACACAAAGGCAAACAAAATTATAGACATGAAATCCGTAAGATTTGCTGCTTTTTTTATTTTTTTTTTATTTACATATATGTTTTTCTTTTTTTTTAATCTAATAAATATCAAAGAGATTTATTGTATTTAAAATTTAAGATCAGCATCAGATCTTATAAATATACGTTTTTTTTTTTAATATTAAAAAGAAAAACAAAAAAAAAACCCAAAAAGGATTCTCTAATTTTCCATAACATCCGACATACGCACATTTGTTTTCAAGTATATCAACTCATATTTATTAATATTTTATATTTTATAATTTTTTATATATACAGTAGAACCTTCATATGATGACCACTCAAGTTTGTTCTTCCCATAAATAAATTCGTGAAACTAGTCAAACTAACTAGCTATTAGCTTGGCTCGTTGTTTTTTATCTTCATTCTGCGAAGAAGGGATTGGCTTTATGCAACATCGGGAGGTCTCGGTCATTTCAGACTCTCTGTCCTAACAGGGAACACCTACCATATTACGAAGAATTTTGCTCCGGAAATTTTGTATTTGTTTATATGTGTTTTTTTTAACCCCATAATTGTGTATCATAATATCCATATAAGTTATTTTATTTTATTTTTAGTATTTCAAACACTTTATTCTATGTTTGTGACTTAGATCTATTCTATAATTTCTTTTCTATAACTTCTAATTTCTTCTATACATGTTTGGTTTTTATTTTTTTTTTTCATTTTGACATCATATTTTTACCATTTTACCTTGAAATTCGACCTTGAAAACCATTGCTAGGTTTATTGCTGTGTCTTATTTTAATACTCTAGCTATATCCATATTTAATTCTGATATAAAATTTTAGATGTACACATTTTCTTTAATGTAGTTTTATTTTCCATTTATTTGCCCATTTGCTTGTAATAATATAAGTAAATGTAATTTTTTTCTCGATTCTTTAACATTAGACCTGATGCTAATATTGCCATATAACATATTGAATAACATACTATGCTAAAATTTTTACTAAGTTCAAAGGTGACAAAAATCTGTCAAATTGTGAAGTTGGACTCGCCATAGAAATGAATATATATGGAGATTTTACTGTAAACACATACACATATTTTAAAAAATAAAAGAGAAAAAAAAAGTTGCCTTCAGGTTTTTAACTTCTTTTACTTTTTATTCATCTAGATGTAACTTTACATAATTTTCATATCTCCATAATATTAAAATATGTACGTAGGTATACATATATTAAAAAAAAATGAAAACGTTTAAATAATAAAGATAATATCGGTGGAAATAAAGGAAAAACCATAAATTTCCCATTAAAAAGGATTTTTTCTTGGTTTTTTTTGTTATAAGAAAAAAATTAATATGATTTATGCCTGCAAATTTAAAAAAGAAAAATAAACGTAAAAATGTTCAAAAATTTAATAATGGTGATTAGAATTTTTCACCTTGTACTTTTCTTTTATATTATGTGACATGACATGCATTTTTCTTTAGATTATATTTTCTCCCACGGTTTGTATTCTTTTAAATAAGCGACATAAAGGCCAAAAGTGAAAAACCAAGAAAAAATTGATTTTATTTTGATTACTTAATTTTTTGCTTTTTTCACGTCCTAATGAGAACCTTTTATAAATATAGGTACGATATACATTTTCAATTTGAGATAAATTCCATACACATTTTACCCGTAGTTTCTAAATTCATTTTAGGCATTATACATTTTCATAATTTGGCAGTTATGGTCCTTGGATTCTAAAAATTTAAATTTTATTGCTATTAACTTTATAAACCTAATAATAAAATGTAAATTATTAGAAGAGAATTTTGAACAAAAATTTATTTATATTTTTTTTGGCATTAATAAAATAATTGCATTAACACCGAATGCCTACTTATTATGACGTATGCTTATACGTATTTTATTTACAAGAAGTAGAGTAATCAGTCACATAGCAATTAGAGCTGTAGTCAGAAGACCAATATATTGTATAAGAAAATATTGAAGCAATATGTAGAATAAGGATAGTTTAAAAGTATTAGTCAATTTTCTACCCTTATAATTCTCTGGCGAATTGATTAATATAATACGGGCATTATACAAAACTATTAAAAAATTTTATTTGAAAATAATAAAGTTTAAAAGAAACATGATCTTATTATCAGTTACCGCATCTCATTTTATTTATTTTTATATTTTTATTGTAAGAGTTTGAATTCGTAAAAGTTCATATAAGAAAAATTATATTAGCTAGGTGATAAAATTAGCTAGATATTATACGAAGTACTTTTATGTTTCTTGTTTCAATACAATGAAAATATTGAATATAAAATTTAATGAACTCGATTTCTATATAGCCAAGGATGTCCAATAAAACTAGAAGTGATAATAATAATAGGAAAAGATGATATTCCACCAGTTGTACAAAGTAATATTAAAGTAATAATAGCAATACAAAAAAATCTGATGTGGTCAGCACATAACCGACCGCATTGTCTATTGTCTAGTTAAATGAAATTGTTACAGAATATTATAAAAATGTCTTTTAAATACTTTTTTCCAATTTTTAGGACATTAGTAAGCTTATAGTTAACATACCTAGAAAAATGTAAATTTGGCTCTTAGTAGAGTTTCGCTTTGTGCTACCCGAATTATCTGAAATGCGCGCCAGTTAGTTTCGGTAACAACCAGAACTCAAATATCAAATTTCAAGAAATTCCATCAATTCGTTCCGTAGATATGGTGAAAAATGTAAAATCGGCCCTCAGATCAGTTTTCAAGCCCTGTTCTTTCCAAAAAATTTATATGTTCATTGTTTTAATACGAGGAATTCATATTTTAAATTTCAATGAAATCGGTTGATTATTTCTCTTTATATACACAAAAAAGTATATTTGGCCCGTAGTAAACGTTTAGTTGCCGATGCCTGATTTCTTCCAAAACATAGGAATTTTCGCGGACGGTCGAGCTGAGCTTATATATAAAATTTCAAGTAAATTGGTTGAATATTTTCTTCAAAATGTTCAAAAAAGTAAAACAGGCCCGCTAAAAAGTGCAGTTCCCGAGGCCTGATATATACCAAAAGATCAATCCGTGCCATGGTGGAAATAAACTTACATATAAAATTTCATCAAAATCGGGTCAGCCGAACTTGAGATACACTCGTGCACACACAAACCGACAGACCGACAGGTTGCTAAAAATAGTTTATTTACGCTTCCCTACTATGGAGAAGTATGTTCCCACCGAAAACTCGATATGCAAAATTTGTTGCCATCACATAACCTACCTATTGTATACAAAATAGGGTCGGTAAAAATGTAAAAGTATACAATTTGGTTGCAATATCGTTGTAACAGCAATGATATTGGGAAATTTCTATTTGCAATATGGAATTTATCGCACTTCAATAATAGTTAATCTTATTACAGAACGAGTTTTTTTAAAAAATTTAATTGTTAGCAAAAATATAATAATTACATTTTTAGCACTTTTCCAAAAAAATATTGAAAAAAGTGCTTATTTATTACACTTTGTCCGTCCGTCCGTTCGTGGACTTGCCTACAAAACTTCTACACCTGTGAAGACAGAAAGTTGAAAGTTTTTACTAGAAAATTATTTCCATAGAAGAAAAAATTTTACCTACCAATTCCCCTCTATCCCTAAAATGCCTATAAAATGAAAAGGTTTTAGACTTGTAATAAAATGAAAAGTTATAGCCCCTAAAACTCTTAAAATGCCTTTTTCAGGGCTATTTATTGCAGCGAAACTATAAGCATTTTTCAAACGCAGCAAATAAATGGCTGGATTTTCTACCGCGGAATATCATATTTAAATTTAAAAAAACAAAATTGCCGTTAACATTCACCGTTACCTAAATTCCGTTTTTTTCAAATTTTTCAAGTTCTAGACCTCAGATTGTAGAAATCTGAAATTTAGCAACTTTTAGACATCAATAAATGATTAATTTCGTAATAAGAAGATTTTATTCCACCTACACTCCCCTTTCAAGTTATTGCCTCTTAAAATTTGTAAAATTTCAAGTTTTGGCAGCTTATATTTCCGAAACTGCAAGCTTTTCCGAATTTCTACGAATGCAAAATCTAACAATGGTTTTATATTTAAATGAAATCTAACGCAAATATTACAGGTTTCACCTTTCTTCAAATTCGTACACATTATGCACCCCCTTAACAAAACTAATTCAAATAGAATTTTAAGTATCAACGTAAATGAATTTGAGTAGTTAAAAGAATTTTAAAGAGCATTTTATTTAAATTGTTTGCAACTCAAGCTCATTCATTTTGTTGCGCAATGAATTTTTTATGGTAAAAAGTTCGCCGAAATATATGCAATATTTATGAATTTAATTTTTAAGAATGAATTTTTAAAATACATTAAGGTAAATTATTTTGTAAAGCTCAAAGTTCTTTTGGAAATTTGTTCTTCTAATTTTTTAAAGTTATAAAAAGTTCATGTGAATTTTATGTACAGAAAATGTATGGGTAACATAAATTTGTTGTGTTCAACAAAAAGTTGAATAAAAAACAAAAGTTTATAATTCTTATGAGAATATTTTAAGATCGATTATTAAAATATGTTAAGGTTTAAGAACGACATGTTTATATACACATATACAAGCTATAAAATTTAATATTTATGAAAAACTTTAACTAAAAGAACAAAAGTGTTTAAGTTAAAACATTAAAATATACACAGAGCAGCACACACAAATTTACAAGTTTGACATAATCATTTCATATACTTACAATATGCACATACATTATGTGTACATGAGTACAAAAATACTCTTTTAAGAGTAAAACTTGGTACCGTGGTTGATGAAAATTTCTTCATTTTTTTTTTTTAATTGAAAACTGCATTATGTTGTCAAAAAAAAACAATATGTGAAAATATTATGAAAATTCAATATGGTTTCTTTAAATTCTTCTAAAATTCACAAAGAATTTATTATAACTTAAAAATTGATTAGGCCAATTGATTCCACGTGAATTTTCATTCGAATTTAA